CTTTTCTCATTGTTTCTTAATTGTTTTTCTCTTTTTTCCTCAGCTTCCTTCCTTTCCATCAACTTGTCTTGTATGTCACTCACTCTCTCTTCCATCTCATTACCCTAAGAGTTAGAACATCCAGTTTCGATTGCATCTCGGTTAAAGTATTTTTAATTTCAGCTTGATTAGATCTCAATTCTGTAGTAACACAGTCTCTAGAGTCTTTATGCTTTTTTCCAGAGCCACCAGTAAGTTTATAATTTTGCTTCTGAGTTGGATTTCTGACATGGTATTTAAATCCGCGTTCAGTAATTCTGTGGCAGAGCATATTGGTTCTGGTTCTTTCTTTTGTGATTTCTGTCTTCTAGTCATTTTGTCTAGTGCAGAGTGGCTATATGAGTGAGCTGAGTCAAAAATATCAACCATGACCTATGTAAAAATACACCCTAGACAATTCCAAAAAGGTCAGAGACCAGAAAATAAAAGAAAAAGAAGAGCAGAACAAAATAAAACAAAAAAGGCCACTAAAATGAAAAAGAGATTTTAAAACAAAATAGTAAAAATAAGAAACCAAAAACGAAGAAGAAGAAGAAGAGAAGGAGGAGGAGGAGGAGGAGGAGGATGAGGAGGAGGGGAGGAGGAGGAGGAGGAGTGGTGGGTGGTGGTGGTGAGGAAGTGGTGGTAGAGAGAGAATATCTCCCCGAGGGGACCTAGAGGGTGATCCTCTTGGTTCTGAGTGTATTTTGTTATGTATGTTAGAAGATGCTCCATTCCAAATTCATATAAACGGGATCCCTGGGTGGCGCAGCGGTTTGGCGCCTGCCTTTGGCCCAGGGCACGATCCTGGAGACCCGGGATCAAATCCCACGTCGGGCTCCCGGTGCATGGAGCCTGCCTCTCCCTCTGCCTATGTCTCTGCCTCTCTCTCTCTCTGTGTGACTATCATAAATAAATAAAAATTAAAAAAAAAATAAAATAAAAACAAATTCATATAAACCAGCAAAACTTATATAAAGACCCTACATCGACTCCCCAAGCATAAACAATATAAGAGGGGGGCAGAATGGGAAGGAAGAGAGAATATAGTCTCACATAATGAACCAAAATGATGTTCCACTTGGTTCCGGATGTATTTTGGTCTGTGTGTTAGGAAGTACTAACTTGCACCATAGTGAAACAAAACAAAGTGGAAAAAACAGCAGACCAAAAATCCATATCTCATATATCTACCAAAATTAAATTGAGCATGTTGAAGGGAATCCAGAAATAAAAAATATATCTAGGACATATAATTGTAGAAATATGAAATTCAAAAAGGAAGACGTAAAAACGAAGAGTTGATAAAATATTATAGTTAAGGTGGGAAAAGAGAAAAAATCTTGGAAACTTTTAACCTGATATAAAAATGGGTTGTAATGGAAAAAAAAACAACCCTCTAGTTCTATATATTATTTTCCTTCAGTCCTAGATCTTTACAGTGCTGCTTGTTCAGTAAACTTGCTTTTCTGTTGTTCTTCCAGGAGTTCTTCTGGAGGAGGGGTCTGCTGTGCTGACTCCCAGGTGTCTGTGCCTGGGCAGAGATGCCCGGCCCCTTGCCAGGTGCCAGACTCAGTATAAGCCGTTTATCCGGTGAGGCCTTTGTTCCTTAAAGGCCCCGCCTCTCCCAGTGAAAAAAAGTGGTGGCCAGATTTCCAGCTCCGGAGCCAAGGGCTCCCTGTCAGTACCTAACCGCAGCCTCCCAGTCCACACTGCCTAGATGCTCCTGGGGTCAGTCATGGATGCACTGATCTGCACAGCTTGCCAGGCACCCAATGGCAGAGTTCTCGCTTTCCTGTGACCTCCCTGCTTCCGCCTGTCCCGGGGGTACGGACAATGGCTTTGTCTGCTTCGGCGCCCTCCGATCGTGGACCCTGTGCCACGGGACCCGCACTCCCAGGGATCGCCTCTCCCAGAGAGAACTGAGGCCAGCCGCTTCTGTCCATTGCTGGGCTCTAGGGTAAAGGGAGCTCCAGAGCCACCCTGCATAACCGGCCAGCTTCTCCCAAATGCTCTGGAAGGTTGTGGACCATGGTTTGCGGTGAGCTTTCTCCTGGGCGCCCCTCCTCTTACAGTATCTCCTGGAATCTTGATGCTTCTCTGCCCTCCTGCGTTTCTGCCCCATTTCCCTGCTGAGCGCTTTTCAGTCAGGTAAAACTCAGGGGCGGATTTTTATAGTTCCGACTCGTCCAGGGCTGGGCTATTGTGCCCTGGCGGCGGCGTTTGTGGCTCCGCTTTTGCTCGGCTTGTCATGGCTTCTCTCCCCCACTTAATTTTTTCCACCTTCCTACCATGTCAGAAGTGAAAACTTTTCTCTCTGTAGCGTTCTACCTGTTCTGTCTTTACATCTCAGGTCAAATTCGTAGGTGTGCAGGATGTTTTGAAAGTTATCGAGGTTTGTTAGTGGGACCAGATGAGTTGAGGACGCTACTCTTCCGCCATCTTGCCTCCCTCCTCCTTAGCAGTCAATGATCATATTCATCTTTTCTCTTTCTCTTTCTTTTCTCCTTCTATTTTTGGTTGTTTTTTTATTTTGTCAGAACAGCTTAATGTTTATGCATTATCCTTCAACCCATGACCCCAGCCTTGTTTCAGCCTTAGCTTTACAGCTTTAAGTATATGAAATGCTTGCTGTTAGGCTTTTTCCAGCATTTTCCCATTCATTAGTTTTGTTTGGATGAAACTCATTATTTGGTGTAATGTTGGTCAACAGAATTTCCTGCAGTGATGAGCATGTTCTGTATCTATGCTGTCTAGGATTGTAACCAGCTCTGTGTGGCTGTTGAACCCTGGAAATATGCCTGATGTGACTGAAAGACAGGATTTTCTGTGTTGTTCCATTTTAATTAATCAAAACTTAAAAATAAATAGCCACATGTGGCTAGTGGCTGCCAAATTAAATGGTGCACCTCTATTAAATTCCTTAGGAAGGTCACAAGTGCTTTGGCATACTCAGCTGTTCTTCTAATAGCCTTGGTACTTGAAGAGTATCTTGGCTGGATATAATTTCCTTCATTTGTACTCTTCCCCCTTAACTTTCTTGACAATACTGTATTACTATTACTTTGTTTTTGATAAATTAATGCCAGTTTCATTCTCTTGTCTTGGCATTATTTCATCTTTTTGGCTTTGAGACCCTGAGGAAAATTTTCTTTGTCTTTAAATTCTAATTGTCTGATTAAGATATAGCTCAGAGTGGGTTGTTCCAGATCAATGTTCCTTGGTACTCGGTAGGTCTTTATGGTGAGGTTTGTTTTAGGATGCTGAGTATGTTCTAGCTTGAGGAGTATTCCATGTGTACTTGGAGAAACTTAATTTCTATATTTTTGAGAGGAACGGTGTGCACAGTCAATTGGTTGATGGGTGATGGTGTTTTTGTTTTTTGTTTTTTAATCCCTATTGATTTTCTGTCTACTAGTTACCTTTAATACTAAGAAAAGTGTTGAAAGTCAGCAGCCCTCAGTGTGGATTTGCCCAATTCTTTCAGGTCTGTCATTTTTGCTTCATGTTATTCAGACCATTTTATTCGGACAGTCTTCCCCACAATCCTGCTCCCCCACGATCCCCTCCATGGTCTTTTGGCTGGACAGTTAGGGCTTTAGTCTCTCTGCTTTGGCACTCATTTTCTGTAACTAGGTTTGCCCTTGGGGCCAAGTGGTGGGCAGTTACAAAAAAGGCAATAGGATCCTTTCTACACTCTTCAGACCACTATTCTCCTTGCCAAGGAAAGGAATTTCTCTTCCTTACAGTATGAGGTTTCTTCTGCTAGAAGGCTGGAGCTTTGGGTCTGGGGAAGGACTGCATTAAAAAAACAACAGTTCTCTCATTTTCTCTGTCCCACAGGGACCCTCTTCCTTCAATTTTCATGTAACTTAGGTGTCCTTGCTGAATCAGTACTTGGTACTTCTCTCAAGCTCTTTCTTTTTTCTTTGCCATCCAGTTTATTCTGGTGGCTTCTCCTCATACTGAAATGCTATTGCCTCCCCATCCTTGGCCTATCCTAGCCTTTTCTTCTGAGCTTCAGAACCATATATCCACCTGCCAGCTGGATGTCCATCAGTATGTGTCATAAACACTCCAGCTGAGGTCCAAGATCTATTTTAATTTCCCTTCTGCCAACCCAGTATCTCTTTAGTTTTAATCTTGCTAGCCTCAACCCATCTGCTCATGCCATTATCCTGGGAGTAGTAGTCTGTGCCTCTCTTCCACTTGAAGGTACTTCTGTTTAGTTTATAGATACAAATATATTGTGGGAAGGTCAGAAAATATTCTGATGGTGTAAGGAGTCAAGAGTCTTAGAGACTAAGGATCCGTAGGAAAAAAGAGTCGAAAATCCTCCCACTCTCTGGCCCCAAATGTCTTCTACAGCACTTTATTTCATCAGAGCCTGAAGTGCTGTTTTTCTGTCATGCTGCTCTATGTGTAGTTCTATAACTCACTCTGGGTATTTCATGTTTACCTGCCTTTTCTTATACTATTGCCCCATATTTTTAAGGGAAATTATATTCTTATTTAAGGATTCAAAGCTCTGTCTCCTCAAATTAAGTGAAATCTGCTAACACCAAGTGGAATCCTATTCCTCCCTCATGAAAGCCCATTGCACCCTGTTATACATGTCTAGCACAGCTCCCATAATACCTCATTGCAAGAATGTTTTTATATACAAGTCTCTTTATTTTGGGGTATGAGCTCTTCGACAATAGGCACTCTATCTTCTGTCTTTTCTTTTAACCAGCAACTGAGACAAGTCCGGGTACAAAGTGTTCACTAAGTAGTTAGTAGTCTTTTCTTCATGGATTGGTAAATTAACACAATAGCATGGCTGTTCTGGAGTTTCCCCCCAACAATGTATATCAAGCAAGACAGAAAGTCAGATGTCCAGTGTAGCTTCTAGTTAACTCTTAATGGTGCTCTATGGTGAGAATTAGTTCCCATACATCTTTTGTGTGTCCCATTCTGATCATTGTAGATTGTTGTTACAGGTATCTGTGTCATTTGAGGACGTAGCTGTGGATTTTACCCGACAGGAATGGCACAGACTGGACCCTGCTCAGAGGACCATGCACAAGGATGTGATGTTGGAGAACTATAGCAACCTGGCATCTGTGGGTGAGGATTATTGTCCATGTAACTCCTAGTAGCATGTGTTTCCTTTCTTGGTTACTGTAATGTGTGCAACTGTTGTAGACTTTAATGATACTCTAGTGCTAGATTCAAGGGTCACAGATGATTCATCAGTTTGGGGCATCAGGAAGAGTGTGTGTGTTGTCACTTCCCCCAATGAAAGGTTTAAATGGGCCCCCTTCCTTGTGCAGCTCATGAGGATGCACCTTCCTCCTTCATCAGAGGCTCTAAAGCTCAGACAGCTTGGCCCATGTCCTGTGCCATTTCCCATTAACAGGCCTCTGCGTGGCCAAACCAGAGATGATCTTCAAGTTGGAGCGAGGTGAGGAGCTGTGGATATTAGAGGAGGACTCCTCAGGCCATTGTTACCCAGGTGAGTGTGCAATAATCAGACATATGGCAACAGGGGAAATAATAGCCCAGAAATTCAGGGCAAAACACTTTGGGCAGTGTTTTTCAGTAATCTCTTTTTAGAGGCCCCTGCTCTTTGAAAATGACTGGAAGGTCTACACACTTCAGATACCTAAATCACACATGCCATTATTATGCTCACACTTAAGTTTTCGGTCTTATTTTATTTTGATTTTTGTAGTTATCTACCACTCTTATCCGTCCCTGCCTGCCTAATCTTAGACATTCTTAGCTAGACTGTCTCTCTTTAGTATTCTAAATTACCTTCCTTCCCTCCATTGTCTTGGATGGCTACTGTTGTCAGGCATTCACTCATACATTCATTTAGTGTTCCACCAAATCTTAAATGAGTATCAACTCTAATCTGGTCATGTTCTAGGTGTGGGGGTCCAGCAGTGAATAAGTTGATATCTCTGTTCTCCGGGAACTTGCAGTCTGATGAGGGAAAGAGACCAGAAACAAATGTTTGGTGGTGAAAAGAAAATCTGTTCAAGATAAGAAAGATAGACAATGATGGTTGTGTGCTTGTGGAGAATGTGCTCAGGGAAGACTTTTTTGTGAGGTTGAAATTAGCGTGCCAACATCGGTGATAGGAGACAGACAGAACCATGTAGATTTTCAAATTCTGGGTAGAGAGAACAGTATGTATCAGGCCTGGTCTGAGTGATATATCCTAAAAATAGCAAAGAGGCCAGGTATCCTTTTTTTTTTTTTTTTTTTTTGAGGCTGGGTATCCTGATGGTGGGTGGTGAGGGTGGTAAGAGGCAATATCAGAGAATTAGCTGGGGGCCAAATTATGTAGTTTTTTTTAGGATATGTTAAGCACTTTTTATAGGATATGCTTTATAGGCTTTGTTAAGCACTTTAATTTGATGCCATTTTTGAGATTTAAGTGAAAGAATGATCTGATTTGTTTTTATTTTTTATTTTATTTTATTTTTTCTGATTTGTTTTTAAAGGATCTCTCTCACTGCTGTGTGGCAACAGTTCTGTTGGGGGTAATGCCCTCAGGCATGATAATGACCTTCAGCATCAGAAAATTCAAACTTTGGATCAAACTGTTGAATATAACGAATATGGGAAAGTCTTCTACAAGAAAACAGGCTTTGTTGGACACAAAAGAACACACACAGGAGTAAAAAACTTTGGATGTCATGAATGTGGGAAAACTTACTGCAGGAAATCAAATCTTATTGAACATCTGAGAATACACACAGGGGAGAGACCCTATAAATGTGGTGAATGTGCAAAGACCTTTAGTGCAAGATCATACCTCATTGCTCACCAGAAAACTCACACAGGGGAGAAACCCTTTGAATGTAATGAATGTAGGAAGTCTTTTGGCAGGAAGTCACAACTCATTCTACATCAGAGAACGCACACAGGAGAGAGACCCTATGAATGTACTGAATGTGGGAAAACCTTTTCTGAGAAGGCAACCCTCATGATTCATCAGAGAACTCACACTGGGGAGAAGCCCTATGAATGTAGTGAATGTGGAAAAACATTTCGAGTTAAGATATCCCTTACACAACACCAGAGAACTCACACAGGGGAGAAACCATATGAATGTGGTGACTGTGGGAAAAACTTTCGTGCAAAGAAATCCCTAAATCAACATCAAAGAATTCACACAGGTGAGAAACCATATAAATGTGGTGAATGTGGGAAATTCTTCAGAATGAAAATGACTCTCAATAATCATCAGAGAACTCACACAGGTGAAAAACCCTATCAATGTAATGAATGTGGGAAATCTTTTAGGGTGCACTCATCTCTTGGGATACATCAGCGAATTCACACAGGAGAGAAACCTTATGAATGTAATAAGTGCGGTAATGCCTTCTATGTGAAAGCACGCCTCATTGAACATCAGAGAATGCATTCAGGAGAGAAACCCTATGAATGTAGTGAATGTGGAAAAATCTTCAGTATGAAGAAATCCCTTTGTCAACACCAGAGAACTCACACAGGAGAGAAACCCTATGAATGTAGTGAATGTGGAAATGCTTTCTATGTGAAAGTACGCCTCATTGAACATCAGCGAATTCACACAGGAGAGAGACCTTTTGAATGTCAGGAATGTGGGAAAGCCTTCTGCCGGAAAGCACACCTCACAGAACATCAGAGAACTCACATAGGCCGGCCCTTGCCTTGTACTATGGAGAAAGCTTCTTTGTGAAAACTCCTATTACCATTTGATCAATCCCTTTGGGTCATCTAGTCACCACACACACAGAGTATACCTGTTATAATTGGCTCCTACACTGGTGTGAAAATACATCCTGATTCTCTTTATGGGACAACTCATTGATTTCATTTCTTTTGGACTTCCCTAATTAATGATGAGGTGGAATATTTTCTTACCTGTTGATTGGCCATTAGGATTTTTATTCTGTGCACTGACTGTTCTATATCCTTTGCTCATTGTTTATAATGGGTTGCTTATCTTATATTTGCTTCTTGGTTTAAATGTTGTTGTTTTTGTTTTTTAATATATGAGAATATAAAAATCTTTTTTTCCAGTCATATGTGTTGCAGATAATCTGCTCATGGACTGTGCCTGGTTACTTAATTTTGTTAACTCTTCTGCTGAGGCTTTATGTTTGAATATTACCAGTTTCAAGTTGATAATATTCTCCTGTCCTTTCCTCTGAGGTTAAGGTTTTCCTTTCAACATTTAGAATTTTTCATCTACCCTAGGAGTTTTTGTGTATGTGTATAGTGTGAATTGTACAATATATAATTCTCTATTGCTCTTAAAAACTTTACCTAAAGGATATCATACAGTGTTGAAACTCTGTAGCTTGCTTTTTTCATGAAATGTTACCTTTCTAAGGTCCATCTATGTTGATAAATCTAGGTCTGGTTCGTTCATTTCTCTCTCCATTCCCCTAGTGCAAGACATTTGTATTTTTTCTATGTTTAGCATCTAAATCTAAAAGTGGAACTGATGGGTCATAGAGTTAGAGTATAGGGAGTGTTTAAGTGATTAAGCTCTTGTGCCCTCGCTCTGACACTCCCCTTCAACACCGTTCTCTGTGATGCTGGGGCTATGACTCTACAAAACATATTTCTTTCTTGCCATCTGCTTCCTGTTGGGCCTTACAGTAAGAGATACTAAATACACACTTTGAGTGTGAGGAAGGAAAAAGGGACCTGCTCCTTTCCTCCCCCTTCCTTTTAGCTCCCTGCTTATATGAATGTCAGCTCAGGATTGTGTCTTCCTTTGGGCAGCAGAAGTTCCTCACGGCGGCAATAGTTTAATTCAGGTTGTAGATTACCAGCACTCACAGAACAGCCTACTCACCTCCTCAGAGACACTAGCAGCAACTGCTTGGTGCCATCTCCTTAGAGGTATGAGTCCCACCCACATGACACTATTCCTCCAACCTTTCAATGTTTATTAATTCAAGTTTCTTCCCTTGTTATCTTAGCTCAGCTGCTTCCTGCAATTGCTACCTCCATGAAAATTTTAACAGTCTCTTTCTGTCTTTTCAGTTACATGGTTAATAATTTGTGAGTAGTTAAACATTCTTTCTAAGACATTCTTTTCATTAAAATAGCTGGTATTGTTTCTGTTCCCTAGCTGGGTTCTTCTGATTGATACAAAAAGTTTTTCAACTTTATTAAATAATTGGATTTTTCCTTCCAGGTTGTACTAATTTATACTGTCATGAGCAGTTGAGATGAAGTTTATATTTTCCCACATATTCACCAGGACTTATTATCAGTCTTTCAAATTGCTATCAGTCTTTCAAATTGCTACCAGTCTGAAAGGTGCAAAATGGCTTTAAGCCATTCTATCCATGAATATGGTTTATCTTTTTATTTTTTAACTCACCTTTTTATTTTTTATTATTTTATTTTATTTATTTATTTTTTATTGGCGTTCAGTTTGCCAACGTACAGCATATCACCCAGTGCTCATCCTGTCAAGTATCCCCCTCAGTGCCCATGACCCAGTCACCCCAACTCTCCACCCACCTCCCTTTCCACTACCCCTTGTTCGTTTCCCAGAGTTAGGTGTCTCTCATGTTCTGTCACCCTCTCTGCTATTTCCCACTCATTTTCTCTCCTTTCCCCTTTATTCCCTTTCACTACTTTTTATATTCCCCAAATGAATGAGACCATATAACGTTTGTCCTTCTCCGATTGATTTATTTCACTCAGGATAATACCCTCCAGTTCTATCCACGTCGAAGCAAATGGTGGGTATTTGTTGTTTCTAATGGCTGAGGAATATTCCATTGTATACATAGACCACAGCTTCTTTATGTATTCATCTTTCGATAGGCACCAAGGCTCTTTCCACAGTTTGGCTATTGTGGACATTGCTGCTATAAACATTGGAGTGCAGGTGTTCTGGCATTTCACTGCATCTGTATCTTTGGGGTAAATCCCCAGCAGTGCAATTCCTGGGTCATAGGGCAGTTCTGTTTTTAACTCTTTGAGGAACCTCCACACAGTTTTCCAGAGTGGCTGCACCAGTTCACATTCCCACCAACAGTGCAAGAGGGTTCCCCTTTCTCTACATCCTCTCCAACATTTGTTGTTTCCCGTCTTGTTAATTTTCCCCATTCTCACTGGTGTGAGGTGGTATCTCATTGTGGTTTTGATTTGTATTTCCCTGATGGCCAGTGATGTGGAGCATTTTCCCATGTGCTTGTTGGCCATGTCTATGTCTTCCTTGGTGAAATTTCTGTTCATGTCTTTTGCCCATTTCATGATTGGATTGTTTGTTTCTTGGGTGTTGAGTTTAATAAGTTCTTTATAGATTTTGAATACTAGCCCTTTATCTGATAGGTCACTTGCAAATATCTTCTCCCATTCTGTAGGTTGTCTTTTAGTTTTGTTGACTGTTTCTTTTGCTGTGCAGAAGCTTTTTATCTTGATGAAGTCCCAATAGTTCATTTTTGCTTTTGTTTCCCTTGATTCATAGATGTATCTTGCAAGAAGTTGGTGTGGCCAAGTTCAAAAAGGGTGTTGCCTGTGTTTTCTTCTAGGATTTTGGTGGATTCTTGTCTCACATTTAGATCTTTCATCCATTTTGAGTTTATCTTTGTGTATGGTGTAAGAGAATGGTCTAGTTTCATTCTTCTTCATGTGGCTGTCCAATCTTCCCAGCACCATTTATTGAAGAGACTTTTTGCCAGTGGATAGTGTTTCCTGCTTTGTCGAATATTAGTTGACCATAGAGTTGAGGGCTCATTTCTTGATTCTCTATTCTGTTCCATTGATCCCTGTGTCTGTTTTTGTGCCAGTACTACACTGTCTTGATGACCACAGCTTTGTAGTACAACCTGAAATCTGGCATTGTGATGCCCCCAGCTGTGGTTTTCTTTTTCAATATTCCCCTGGCTATTCGGGGTCTTTTCTGATTCCACACAAATCTTAAGATGATTTGTTCCAACTCTCTGAAGAAAGCCTATGGTATTTTGATAGGGATTGCATTAAATGTGTAAATTGCCCTAGGTAGCATTGACATTTTCACAATATTAATTCTTCCAATCCATGAGCATGGAATATTTTTCCATCTCTTTGTGTCTTCCTCCATTTATTTCAGAAGTGTTATGTAGTTATTAGGGTATAGATCCTTCACCCCTTTGGTTAGGTTTATTCCTAGGTATCTTATGGTTTTGGGTGCAATTGTAAATGGGATTGACTCCTTAATTTTTCTTTCTTCAGTTTCATTGTTAGTGTATAGAAATTCCACTGATTTCTGGGCATTGATTTTGTACCCTGCCACACTTCCAAGTTGCTGTATGAGTTCTAGCAATCTTGGGGTGGAGTCTTTTGGTTAACTCACCTTTTTAACCTTTAATTGTATCTTATGGTTTTCTCCAATAAATTGTCTTTTAAAGTTAATTTAAAATTTTTTTTTAATTTAAATTCAATTGATTAACATATAGTATATTAGTTTCAGAGGTAGAGTTTAGTGATTAAAGCTAATTTTTAACAGAAACTTTGTTCATATAGTTGTATGTACATATATATTTCCAAATATAATGATGTATTATGGGGTTTATATAAATAATTATATGTAATGTATGTGTGTATATACATATACACACACATACACACACAGGCAAATACACACTCATAAATCCCTTGAAAACATTTTTGTTTTATATGTTCATTTCATTTTACCCACATGTTTACCACCCTGGTTGCTCTTCATTCCTTTCTGTATTCCATCCAGGATCAATTTCTTCTTTGCCTGAAAAATATTGTTTAGTGGAGATCTATTAGTGACAACCCACTGAACTTTGAGAATGTTTTTTTTTTTGAAGCATATCTTATATAAAAAAATTTTTTAAGTAAGCTCTAGTTCGACATGGGGCTCGAACTCATGACCCAAAGGTAAGAGTCACATGCTCTACCGACTGAGCCAGCCAGGCCCCCCCAAGAATGTTTCTAATGCACCATTTCTGATCAGCAGAAGTCAGTCCTTTACCATTAGTATTTGGTAGCACTCTGCTATAGTAAATTGATGCTAAATTAAATACTTGTTTTTTGTTTAGTTTCCTGGATATTCCGTAATAAATATGAAGACCCAGGACATTTGAATTAATCATCAGATGCTCCCAAATATAGCATACACTTGAATGTATATATTACACTTTCTGCATTTTGTAAACAGTGTGCCCTCACCCTCATTTATTATTAATTACATTTTTCAAGATGTTTTCTCATTGATTCTTTTAATCTTCAGCTCATCCATTTTAAACATTTCAATTTTAGGGGTGGCTCAGTTGGTTAAGTGTCTGTTTTGGCTCAGGTCATGATCTTGGGCTCCTGGGATCCAGCTCCACATTGGGTTCCTTGTTCAGTGGGGAGCCTACTTCTCCCTCTCCCTCTGCCTGCCACTCCTCCTGCTTGTGCTCTCTTTGTCAAATAAAATCTTTTAAAAAATACAGAATTTCAACTTTCTGTTTTAAAATTATTATTATTGTTATTATTATGGAAAGTGTCAAACATAAATAAGTAACCTGTAGTGACAGAAAGCAGATCAGTGGTTGCCCCTGGGATGGGGATTAATTCCTAAGGGATTGGATGGAACTTCCTCGAGTGATAGAACTATTCTGTATCTTGTTTGGAATGTGTACTAATAGTTATCAAATGAGTAAATTTAGGATTTGTGCACTTCATTGTTGTAAATTATATCTCAACTAAAATTTAAAAACAATAAAATAG